TGTTAAACAATAATAAGGTAACTAATAATAATAATAAACGTTATTAATCATTACTCTTATTTTGTCATTTATTGGGGGAGGGGGGAGGTGGTACGCATATATCATTTTTATTAAATTAATTATCAATAACAAATTTTTTTTACGTCATTATTTTTATCATTTTCGTAAAAAAATTTTTTATGTATAATTCATTACTTTCATAAATATCAATTATTTTATTTTAAATGTTGTGAAAAATCAGAAAAATCTTAATAATAATAATAATAATAATATTGAGAGGAATCGTTTTATGATAATTTTTATGTTATTAAAAAAAAAATTGACCAACACCAGAAAAACAAAATTTTTGTATCCATTCATAAAAAATTAATTACGTAACGAATATGTTTTATAATTAATTGTAAGATTCATATTTTTAAAAAAAAAAAACATTTTCATAACAACAACAAAAAACGACTTTCTCTACGTTATTAATATAAATTAATTTTTTTTATTATAATTATTAAAATTAATTTAAACGAAAATAATAATAATAATAGTAATAATACTAAACGTGTATACGATTTAATTTTTTTTAAAAAAAATTTACTTTTTACATATTTTTTTTAAAGTTATGATGAGGATAATTTTTTATAAAAAGAATTTTTTTTTTTTTTGGTTCGTTTTGATAAGAAACGATCGTGACAGATAATATTAAGTTAAAAAAAGAAACTAGTTTTCGAGTTTTTTATTTCATTTTTTTTTTTTTTTGTCTTACCCTTTTTTTTATTTTAATTAAGTTTAAATACGAAAAAAAAAATAACATGTAAATAATAATATTAATAATAATAATAAACAAAAAAAAAAAAAAATAAGGCAAAACTTACTACAAGTAGAAAATAAGAGAAAAAGAAGGAGAGAAAAAAAAAATGAGAAATGGTTCAACGAACTTGAGAAGAGTTGAATTGGCGAGCATCGAACTCTCATTTAAAGTATATATAATTTTTTTTTTATTTCTAGTTTACCCGACTATGAATAACGGCAATTTGTTTCCTTAAAAACATTGTTTATAAAAAATTTTCTTAAAATGTTTAATAAACGAACGAAAAAAAAAGAAAACTAGTTTACGAAACAAAAAAAAAGGGAAAATTACGATCGATTTTTTTACGTATTACGTATTCAAAATTTGGTAACAACAATAATAAAAACAATTACGTAATAAATTCATTTAAAATAAATATTATTATTATTATTTTTCTTCTCCTTTTATTTCTAGATCAACATTACGCTGCAGCTGATTCAAATAGTTCGACACCCACCAAATCGTTTGTGCCATGCAAAGTGTGCGGAGATAAAGCTTCCGGTTATCACTATGGTGTCACATCATGCGAAGGTTGTAAGGTATGATTTTTCTTTAAATTTACTACCATATCCGGTTTGTTTCGCTCTTCATTATGATTCTTCATCAACTAACTCCATTCATTATCATTATCTCGTACCTTTTCGTATTGTACCATTTACAGAAATTATCGATTTTAACAAAAAAAAATATCGATCAACCGGAAATTACGTGTTTACTCACGATTCGTTTTGTCAAATTAAAAAAAAATTATTTCATTTCGTAATTGCGAGTCGTTAAAACTTATAAACAACATATTATTATCATCATTATTTTTTTTTTTTTAAATAAAGTTAAACGCGTTAAAATTATGATAAATTAATTATCGATAAATAAATAAATAGAGCATTTAAAAATTTTGATAAGAAAAGATTACATGAAAAAATGATAAGTAAATACATAAATAAGTTAATAACCGTTTCTTTCATTTTAATAATATTTTATTAATATTATTAATATAATAAATAATTGCGTATTTAATTAATTCACTTTTCCGCACACGCCCACACACATACGAACGGAAATAAAATAATAAAAAAAAAACAAGGGATTTTTAATAATATAAAAAAAAAAAGAAAAAATCTTCGGAAATAAAAATATATATATTAGGTAATAAAAAGAAAAGATATTCCTTAAGGATGGTAAGAAATTTAAAAAAAAAAAAAAGAACAAGATTATATAACACAATTTATACTTTTTGATTTTAGAAGGAAAAAAAAAACTCAAAGGTAAAATTTCATTTGAATATTTCATGTTGTTAAATTGAAAACAGAAGTGGAAGTAGAAGTAGAAAAAAAAAAAAAAAAACTAAATTTAACTTGGGAACGGGATAAAAAAAAAAAAAAAAAAAAAAATTTAAAAAAAAAAATAAAATTTCACCCAGGAAAAAAAAGAAAAACTAAAAATTTCTATTGTTTTCCTTGTTTTTTTTTTTTTTTTTTAAAGAAAATTGTTATGCGTGGGAAACGTGAAATACTTTTAAAAAACAAATAAATGAATTTTTTTTTTACATAATTTATCTAATGCCACGATTAAATAAAATTTTTAAAAATATTTTTTTTTTCTTTCCCAACCGGTTATTTATTTTTATATATAATTTTTTTTAAATATTTTAATAAATTAATTAATGTTTATATCCTTAAGGATCTTGTTTATATTTTGTTGTTGTTTTTTATAAAAATTTTTCGATGCGAAACAACAACAAAAACAACAACAACAACTCGTTTTTCGTCATTCCTAAACAACAAACAAACAAACGGTATATTTTTCTACTTTTTAAATAAAATCGGTTTAAAATGATTATGTTTGTTATTATAAATTTTTTTAAAAATTAAACAACCCCATCGATTAAAAAACTTATTATTATTATTATTATTTGTAACGTATTTTTTTTTTTAAATAATAATTTTTTTAGGGATTTTTTAGAAGAAGTATTCAAAAACAAATTGAATACCGGTGCCTAAGAGATGGAAAATGTCTCGTTATTAGATTAAACAGGAACCGGTGTCAGTATTGTCGATTTAAAAAATGCTTAGCCGTCGGAATGTCAAGAGATTGTAAGTTAAAATATGATAAAATTTTTTCGTTTTGTTTAAGATTAAGAAAAATAAGACAAAAAAAATTTTTTTTTTGTTAGCTGTGAGATACGGTCGAGTGCCAAAAAGATCAAGAGAAAGAAGTACGGAAGAACAATCGAGAGTTTCAACGTCGGATGCAGAACAATCAGATTCGGATACAAAACAGCTGGCAGTGTATGACGTCATATTGACGGTTTCTCAAGCTCATCATGCCAATTGTGGATATACTGAAGAACACACGAGAAATTTGGTTCGAAAACCGATAACGATACCCGTGAGATAAAACTTTTCTTTTCTAAAAAATTTTTTGAAAATTAACGGATTCCCGAATGAAAAATTTATTTTTGATTTTTGTACAGCCTTTGAATGGTTCCTCATCAACGGATGGTCCAGAAGTTGCATCATCGACAGCTGAAAGTTTAGAACAAGAAAGAATTTGGCTGTGGCAACAATTTGCATCACACGTTACTCCTAGCGTTCAAAGGGTAGTAGAATTTGCAAAAAGGGTACCTGGTAAGTTAATAACAAAATGATTTCTTTCAAAACAAACAAACAAAACGTAATCGCTCGATTCATTTTTTCAGGTTTTTGCGATTTAAGCCAGGACGATCAATTAATATTAATAAAAGTAGGATTTTTTGAAATTTGGTTGGGACATGTATCGCGACAAACATGCGATTCATCAATGACTTTTACCGATGGCACATATATAACGAAGCAGCAAATGGATCTTATTTACGATGTGAGTTTAGCATAATAATAATAATAATAATAATAATAATATCAAACAAAGAATAGTATATCTTTATTAAAAATTTATATCGTTTCAGCCCGAGTTTGTCTCTTCATTGTTTCATTTTGCGGCTTCCTTTAACGCTTTAGCACTTAACGATACAGAACTAGGCCTATTTTCAGCTGTTGTTCTCCTTTCGGCGGATAGACCGGGAGTAGCAGATATAAAAGTCATCGAACAACATCAAGATAGATTAATAGAAGCACTTAAAGTACAGGTAATTAAAAAAAACACGCAACGAATGCAGGTAATAAAAAAAAAAAAAAAAAAAATGGTTGAAATCGATGGAAATCGCGGCAAGAAAGAATGCGTGAATATTTTTTTTTTTTTTTTTTATTCGACTGAAAAAAAAACGTAGGAAACACGGTTTAAAATTTTGTTTGAGATTACACCACCATTTTGTGTTACACGTATTAAATTAAAACAAGTTAAGCCAGAATTTTTTCTTTTTTTTTTTTTTTTTTTTGACAGTTTAGCCTAAAGCTGTAATTTTTTTTAATTGCTAAGATAAATTTTTTTTTTCATTCGTATGAGTTAAATTTTTGTGAGGAGGACACATAACCAAGAAGGAGGGTTTGTCACGTTAAAATAATTCAAACGAAAAAAAAATTTTTGTAATTTTTTTTTTTTTTTTATGTCTAGGTGGGTCGTAATCATGCAAGCGATCCTCAACTTTTTTCAAGTCTTCTTATGAAATTACCCGAATTGAGAAATCTCGGAGCTAAACATTCTGCTCATTTAGATTGGTTTCGAATTAATTGGCAACTTTTAAGGCTACCCCCTTTATTCGCTGAAATATTTGACATTCCAAAATGCGAAGAAGATCTTCAATGAAAAAGGTAAAAAACATTTTTTCTTTTTTTTTTCAACCCCTAATTAAATTTTGTAAACAGTTAAATTTTTTTTTTTTTACCCCCAACAGGAGCACGTTTTTTAGAAAAATAATAAATAAAAATACACACAACTACTAATGCAACAACCCTTACACGTAATTTACATCTCATCGTAGCATAAATCAACACCTGACGATAAACATAATAATATTTATAATAATAATAATAAAATTTTATATTTAAAAAGTAAGAAAGAAAGAAAAAGAAGAAATAATAATAATAATAATAATCTTTGTAATATTCTTGCTCAATCAATAAACAAAATGATTTTTATAATGTAGTAGATAATCCCCACGTAAATGCATTTTTATTTGTCTTTTATGTGGCCTAATAATAATAATAAATTAGGGCGAAAAATAATAATAATAATAATAGTAAAAAGAGTAATAAAACAAATATTAACAATTATTACGTAATTTGTTTTTAAAAAAAAAAAAATTTTATTTAATATCGATATCGTTTGTTTGTTTGTTTGTTTTTACGAATGAAATAATAATTAATTAATTAAAATTTTAACGCGGTTTCAATCATTCTATGTATGTACCTGATTATTTCATTTTTTTTTATTTTATACGTTCTAAAATTTTCAAAGCGGAAACAGTTAACGGAAATCATTCGGAAATATGATTAAACATATTAAAAATATTATCAATATATATAAAATATGTGAATATTTATCTACGAAATACGTAAAATATGTTGTTTTCTTATTCTTTTTTTGGTATATTAATAATAATAATAATAATAATAATAATAATAATAATAATAATAATAATAATAATAATAATATTAATAATAATCAATCAATCAAACAATCTTTAATCATCACGCTATCAACCCTTATCAACAACGTTCGATTACTTTAATCAAAATATATATATATATATATATATATATAAATATGTAAATTGACAATTAATAATTTCGCCTTTTTACGATCCTTGTTGTTGTTATTATTTAACGGAAAAAATAAATTAATAAATAATAATCAAATAATAAATAAATAAAAATAATCAATAATCAATATTTCGATCGATATCGCAATTAGATTCAAACTTTAATAAATTCTAATTATTGTGACTTAAAAAAAAAAAAATTCGTGCTTTACCACCATCTTATTGATTTCAC